ACAGCATTGTACTTCAGGACAGATCTTGAAACACCCTTTGTGATGATGAATGCAACACCATTCCTCTTCAATTTGTCATTCCCGGCATAGTAGATCATATGGTTGTCTGATTCACAATGGCCCAAACCAGTCCATTTCAGCTCACTAATGACTAGGGTATCAATCTTTATGTGCTCCATTTCATTTTTGACAACTTCCAATTTTCCTAGATTCATGCTTCATACATTCCATATTCTGAGTATTAACAGATGTTTGCAGCTGTTTCTCCTCAATTTGAGTCGTACCACGTCAGCAAATGGAGGTCTCGAAAGCTTTACTTTATCCATATCATTAAGGCTGGTTCTACTCTGATGATGCAGCTCTTTCCTGGTCCTGTTCTGAGAGTCTTCTGACCTAAGTGGCTTATCCTCCTGCACTGTATCTGACAATGTTTCCAGGCTAGTCATAAAGCTGCACAGTAATGTATCAGACAGTGTTTCTCTGCTATTTGTAAGGTCTCCCCCGACCAATTCTTTGAGAAGTGGATGGCCTCCTCCTTCTTCCTGGTCTGTCTCAGTCTGTAAGCTGTTGAAACCTGTGCACCATGTGCACCCCGCTGGGTTTGCGACACCAGTGGCACAGCCTCAAGACTCACAGCAGCACGTCACCACAGCTGGACAGACTGACAGACAAGTGTGTCTCCCTTAGCTGTTCAAAACCACTTCAACGGAAGGGTTTTTAGTGAATTTCATTACCTGTTGGTGTTTGAACTAAAATAGAATCTCATGTTAAAGAGTATCCATCAGTTCCACCGTTAAGAGTTTTCTTTCCTAAGATTAAGAATGGATGTGGACTTTTCTAAAATGTCCTTTTAGCAAACCACGATAATCCCATGGTTCTTCTTTCTGGATCTCTTGATACGATGACGTATATGCATAGACCCCCTAGACAAGCCACTCTTGTATTCTGGCCTCATTACCATTTGACGGTGGCATTTTGTTATTTAATGTGCTGGGGGTCAGTGGGCCACATTTTATTTGGAATCTTTGCATTAATACTCCTCAGAAAGACTGGTCTGTGCTTCTGTCTGAATGCAACCCCTTCTGGGCCGGATGATAATGTCTGGCCCACTTCAAAAATGCATTTTTAGTTTTATAAACATGAATTAAACCGTTCACATACAAGACTGCAACCATACTAAGTCTTGTTCCTGCTGCCACTCCCATCACTCTGATTACTAACACTAGCTGCACACACTCAGGCTTTCTGAAGGATTTCAACGTGACAAGTGTCTATTCTCATCACATTACCCGTATTGTCGCTTTCCACAATTACATCAGTCCCGTGGGGTAGACAATACTAGTGTCCCCATTTACAGACGAGAGAACGGAGACCCAGAGGAGGAAGGTGGCAGAAGTGTGCAGTGGAACTGTGATGCTGAACCACGAGGCTAAACTGGAAGGAGGCCTGGAAGTGTAGTGGTTAAGTTCTTGGCTGCTAACAGAAAGGTCGGCAGCTCAAACCCATCAGCAGCACCGTGGCAGAAAAGACGTGGCAACCTGGTCCCGTACAGACTGCAGCCTAGAAACCCTCCAGGGCAGTTCAACCTGTGCCAGAGGGTCACTACCCACTGCCATTGAGTTGCTTCTGACTCACAGCAACCCTCTAGGACAGAGTCGAACTGACCCAGAGTGTTTCCAAGGCTGTCATCTTTACAGAAGCACACTGGCTCATCTTTCTCCTGCAGAGCAGCTGGTGGATTCGAACTGCTGAGCTTCTGGTTAGCAGCTGAGTGCCTCAACCACTGCACCGCAGAGCTCCTTCTACAGAGTCTCTGAGTTGTGATTGCCTTGGCGGCACACCACCACCACCGCACCACCAGGTTCCCCGACTCTTCTGTGCCGTCCCTTTAAAAGTCTGCCGCTTTGTGGCCATGCTGCGTTCTGACACACTAAGCCAACATGCTCAGCTGACCCGTTCCTCGGCCTCAAGAGAAGACAGCACCATTGTTTCACATTCTCTGGAGCAAGTGAGAGACTTTCAGCCACCCTCCAGTCAAAGGAAGGAGTTTGGTGGCACAGTGCCTAAGCCATTTGGCTGGTAACCAGAAGGCTGGTGGTTCAAACCCCCCAGCCACTCCATGGAAGGAAGACTGGGCAGTCTACTTCCGTAAGGGTTGACCACCTCAGAAACCCAATGGGGGTCGCTGTGAGTTGGAATCGACTCGACAGCAGTGGGTTTGGTTTTGGTTTTCTTGTCAAAGGTGATTGTTACCTTTCAAACAAACCCGGGGCGTGTGTGGCTGCTGGTACATGCTTTCAAGGCATGACCTGGCCTGACGGTGCAGCTGGAGGGACAAAGCCTGAACACGTAACCAAGTGAGGTCATACCAACGAAAGTTAGCCACCCGAGGCAGTACGTGATGGACAGCCAGACCACAGGGTGGGTGTACGTGCTCCCAGTCAGGGAGAGGGGGCTGTGGAGCAGGGGGAGACTTTGGGGGCTGGGATTGGCTCTTCCAGTTGGAAAGCGGACACCTGTGTGCTTGACCTCAAGGGCTTGAGCAGGGGAGGGCAGGAGTCAGGGAGGCTGACGGTTGGGTTGATAGAGCTGAGGGCAGAGACGCCAACCTTCAGCACCGCTTGTATTGCCACTTGGTAGTTCACGCTACTTGGCTAACTCCCTACTATGCTACCAGAGCTCCCAGCTAACTCCCTGCTAGGTCGTTTTATCTCTTTCCCAGCTACAAACCAGACACGTGTGAACGGCTCTTTCAGTCATCTATGGCAGGGGCCAGCAAACTACGGGCAATGGACCAAACCTGGCCTGCCGCCTGTTTTTGTAAATAAAGTTTTATTGGAACACCGCCAGGCCCATTTCTGTACATATGGTCCATGGCTGCCTTCACACTACAATGGCAGAGTTGAGTGATTGCAATACAGGCTGTGTACTCATTCCATGAGCCTGAAATGTTTATTGTTTGGCCCCTTATGGAAAAAGTTTGTTGATTCTTGATCTACGAGAAACCTATCTTGTTATTTCCTTAGTGTACACTCCTCGGGTGGCATTGGTGGGTCAAAGGGCACACACGTGAACAATGTGGGTACGTCCTTGGTTTGTTTCATAACAAAAACGTCCTGGAAATTTACGTCTCCAGTGGCAATGTCTGAGCCCCCCTTTCTCCCGAATGCTCACCAGCTCGAGTTATTAACATGCTTTAAAAATTCTGCCAACCCTGCATGCAACACAGGGAGCTCAGGTGGCATCTGGCTGCTAACCAGAAAGTTGGTGGTTCAAATCTACCAGCTGCTCAGTGGGAAGATGAGGCAATCTACTTCTGTAAAGATTTACAGCTTTGCAAACCCTGTGGGGGTCACTGTGAGTTGGAATTGACTTGATGGCAGTGGGTTTGGGTTTTTGTTTTTTTTTTGGTACATGCTATATGAAAATGACACAACCTCATTTGCTGAAAGTAAAAAAGACTTGAAGCATTCACCGGTGAAGAGCCAAGCTCGTACAGCCCTCAGTACAGATTCCACCTCAACACAAAGAAAATAAAAATCCTCACAACTGGACCAACGAGCAACATCACGATACGTGGAGAAAAAACTGACGTTGTCAAAGATCTCATTTCATCAGCGCCCAGGAGAGCAGCAGCCCAGACATCAAATGGCATCGCATTGGGCCAATCAGCTGCAAAAGGCCTCTTTAAAGTGTTAAGAAACAAAGATGCCACTTTGAAGACCTAACCTAAGCCATGGTATTTTCAATTGCTCCATATGCATGTGTAAGCTAGACAGTTAATAAGGAAAGCTGAAGAAGAATTGACGTATGTAAATTATGGAGAAGAATACTGAATGTACCATGGACTGCCAGGAGAATGAACAAATCTGTCCTGGAGGAAGTACCCAGCAAATACTCCTTAGAAGTGAGAAGGCCCAGACTTCGTTCACCTACTTCGGTCACATGGTCAGAAGGCATCCGTCCCTGGAGAAGGACGTCATGTCGGTACAGCAGAGGGTCAGAGAAAGAGGGGAAGGCCCTCAGCGAGATGGGTTGACAGCGTGGCTGCGGCGATGGGCTCAGGGGCCGTGGGCACGGAGCAGGACCGGGCAGTGCTTCGTTCTGTTGTGCGCAGGGTCACTGAGTCGGGATGACTCAACAGCACCTAACACCACCACTAGAAGCCCATGGACTTTAAACTGGAAAGCAATGTGAGGGTGGTATGTTTATGTTTTGTTTCTCAAGTGCATCTGTACCTGTTGAGGGGTCTTGTTAGAAAAAAGAAGAGCCGAGCCTCCCTCTTCCACCTTCGGGTAGTCAGGAAACGCGCCGGTTAAGTTCCTGAGGAGGAAAAAAGGCAGATTAAAATAGCCACAGCCGCAGCCCTGTCCGACGACCCCCGTTAGCTGGTTCCCTGGTGCTCATCCACACGGCCACCTGTCAGGGCGGGGTACCCAGTCAGCCAAGTAAGCACGGGCTAACCTGTGCTTACTTCCTAATCTGTAGTGAGCAGTGTCTCATGCTTTCCACTGCAGGTGGTACTGTTCACTACAGATTCAGAAGTAAACACAGGTCGGCCAGCGCTTACTTTGCTTACTGGGCACTCTGTCCTTGCCACTCACTCCCTTGCTTGTTTAATCACTCATTCATCCATTCACTCATTCATTACTCATTAATTCATTCATCCACTCATTCACCCATTCATTCATTCACTTGCTTGTTCACACACTCACTCACTCACTCATTTATTCTCTCATTCACCCAGTCACTCAATCGATCACTCACTCCCAGGAGCACCAAGCAAAATTGTGGACACTGATGCTGAACCTGGCACTTGGCCCAGCCCCTACCTGCTTCCTCTTCACTCACTCACTCACAGAAGATTCATTCAACAAACACCTGCTTTGTACCAACTAGATCCCGACGCAGAATGGGGGCACCTGGTCTGAGGATGAGGAGAGAGGGACCTCGCCTCCTGCAGCTCACTGCCATCCGAGGGCTGCTGCACACCCTGGTCTCAGATGCTGCTGGTCAGCAAGCCCCTCCCTCCCAGCCTCGTTAGGCTGCCCGCCCGGCTCCCACTCAGATCTGGGCTCCATCCGGCTGCCAATCTCAGCAGCACGCCTTCACTACTCATGGCATTCCTTCAACCATCATCTTCACAAGCGACTCCATTGCCTGGTTTTCTCGATTATTTTAATGTTTGAGTGTTCTAAGGACTAAATACAAACCTAGCAACTTCTATAAAGAAAAATTAAAAAGGATTTACACACGCTGTTTGTAAAATGGGATGCTTAATTATGTAGCCCGTTCACCACCACACTAGACTTAACAAGCTGACACTTCCACAGTGCTTGGTGCAAATGAGCATCCAGGCATCGTACATTTGCTTTTAATAGACAAATGAATATACTTAATTATTCTTAGTTGTCTTAGTTTATATGATTAGTTATAATCTGAAATGGAATTAGTTGTATCCTTAAAGGATATAAACTTTGTTATGTGGCAAATATTTAAAAATATGTTTTAAAATTTGAATGTAGAAAATGACAGTGTAACTTGATAGCCATTTGCCACATACAAGCATGCACACACATGCACATATATGCATACACATGGACACTTACACATATGTGGAGATGAAGATATACACATGCATACACAGAAACATGTGCACATATGCACACATACACACCTGCACACTTGCACATATGCACATGCAGACACAAACATACATACACACCTACATACAAGGACACTTGCATGCACAGATGCACAAATGCACAGATGCACGTGCATACATGCACAAACGTATGCCTGCATGCACACACATGTGCACCTCCCCCTTCCCTGTGTACACACTCCATCCCGGGCTGTCCTTCATGTGGTAAGCTGGTTTCTGTTGCTGAAGCACACTGCTCTGTGAGGTGCCCAGGTCGCCTGGTTTGCACTGGCCAGGACTCTCTCCCTAGTCCCTATCCCTTGGGACCTAGTCCCTTAGAGCACGCTAGAGGAACTCAGTTGCAAATTTGATTTGTATTTCTAGATGCTCGTCACCTTGCCTCTCGGACATTCACCCCCTGCATTTTCAGCTGCACACCACGCAGGAACGGAAGCCTGTGCAGACCTCCTGGCCCCAGGCCAGGCCCTCAGACAGACGCAGCCGCTCCCCGTGCCCACTCCTCACGACAAGCAGGGTGAGGCAATGGGCGCCGAGGACACCACGCTGGTGCTCACGGTGCTGCTGGTGCAGAAGCCGGCATTTGACGGCACTGGCAGCGGTGACAGCCTGTCTGGGGGCTGCCAGGAGCTTGACCAAGGACCTCAAATTACATGGTGTCAGGAACCACTGTTCTGACAAAACATGGAAGTGCTCATTCTGACCCATGAGCCCCTCCTTCCAGCCCTGCAGACACTGGGCTCCAGCCTCTGTCCCCCCATGGCATTGTAGAGATGGGCCTTTCCCCCTGCGCACAGCCTGTTGGATACCCACAGCTCCCGAGGGCTGCTGTCACAGAAAAGACCACAAGGGAGCGGTTTCAAAGAACAGAGGCTTCTGGAGGCTGACAGTCAGTCCCATGGGGCCTCAGCCTTGTCAGCTGTCTTTGCCCTCTGCCTGGTTCCTGGTGTCCATGGTGATCTTTGTGCCCCGGGACATGCAGGTGTGTTCATCTCCGTCATCTGTCTTCCCCTGCATGCGTCCCAGTGCCTGTTGGGCTCTTTGGATTACTCGGAGGTGTTAGGCGTAAGATCTACCCTACTCGAGTCTGTCCTTGCCCACCTATCAAAGAAAACCCCATATCCACACAGGACCACATCTGCAGACACAGGGTCCGGGCGTCAGCACAGGTGTCGGGGACAACATTCAATGCACACATGGTCTCTGGGACCTGGGGGCCGCCTGGGGGGAGATTCACCACTTGGCTTAGGTCTGGCGTGCTGTGCTGGCCTCACACAATCCAAGCCCCCGCACTTGCACAATGGCAGGCAAAGTGGTTAAAGTGCTCGGCTGCTAGCTGAGAGGTCAGCAGTCTGAACCCACCAGCTGCTCTGTGGGAGAAAGGACAGTCTCAATCCATAAAGACTGACAGCCTTGGAGACCCTCAGGGGTAGTTCCACTCTGTCCTCTAGGGGCGCTGTGGGTTGGAATCAACTTGACAGCAATTGAGTTTTTCCTTTTTTTAGAGGGTCCTGGGAGGTCCCTCCGCGGACAGAGCAGGGCTCCACTAGGATCTTCCAGAATGAGTCACAGGGAGGGGGAAGAGGGAGCCCCATCCCCCCCAGAACGCCTCCTGCACCCCTTCATCTGCAGTCTCCCTGGTGCCCGTCCACTGGTGGAAGCACTGGGCTCTCCCTGCCTGAGGCCAGCCTGCCTTTGGGTGTCTCAGCTTCCGCCTCCTCAGACGCGTGCTCCAGTGTCCTCTGTCTCTCCAGTGGCTGCCCTCCGCCTGACCCTTCCCTGAAGATGTCAGACGTGCTCCTGTTGGTCTCACTGAAGAACGCCCGCCTCCCTTGACCTTCCAGCCCCCTCCACTCCGTCACTGCTCTGCTGTCCTCCACAGCCCAGGCGCTGCCCAGTGGACCGTCTCCGACGGTGAGCAGGCAGGCGCTGCCTCTCTGGGGCTCTCAGCCGTCAGCCATCAGGTGGCACCGGCTTCCATGGCCAGCACCCTCCCGCTTCACACCTGCCACCTCCTCCACCACCCTATCTGCTTCTGGCTCTTCCTCTTCTACCTGGAGTCCCCGGTGGTGTGAGCTGTTAATGCACTTGGCTGCTAACTGCATGGGCGGTTTAAGGCCACCCAGAGTGCCTCAGAAGAAAGGGCTGGCACTCTGCCTCCATAAAGACTACAGCCGAGAAAACCCCAAGGAGCACAGGTCTGCTCTGACACGTGGGGTCGCCATGGGTCAGAACCGACCTGATGGCCACGAGTTTGGTTTTTGTTTTGCTTTTTATCCTCAAAGGGACTGGTTTGGCCATTACATTCCACTGCCAAGCATGTGATGATTAGTTTTGCTCTCATCCCCTCCACTGAGAGAAAGAAGCTGCGCTGAAGTCCTAACCCCGGTGCCTGTGGACGTGACCTTGTCTGGAGGCGTCTGTGAGGGTGCGACCGGTTAGGTTCACAGGAGGCCCTGCTGCCGTGAGGCGGGTGCCCATCCTACATGAGTGGGGTCCTCATGAGGGAGGAGAGGAGACACAGAGAGACACACAGAGGGAAGGGGGCTCATGATGGCTGCAGAAGGGGCTACGTCACAGCCCCCCGCCAAGAAACTCCCAGGGTTAGTGAGCCGCGAGGGACAGGAAAGGATCTGCCCTTAGCGCCTTCAGAGAGGGCAGGGGCCTCCCGAGACCCAGAGCTGTGAGACAATGAACCTCTGCCACTTTAAGCCATCCACTTTGTGGCACTTTGCTACAGCAGCCCCAGGGACGAGCACACGCCGCTCAGAGCGGCCCATGTGGCACCCACCCCATGTTCTCCCATGCTCCTCCTTGCTGGCCCTGCTCCAGCTCCTCGGACCTCCCCTGGGCACCCTCCTCACGCTTCCTCCTCAGAGCCTGTGTGCTTTCTTAGGGCCCATCTGGATAACGTCTTCTCTTGCTTTAAGGTTCTGCTCAAAGTCCTCATGTCACAGGGGTCTTCCCACCAGCCTGGGCAAAAGCAGCTTTTGACTCGTGTGTTAGGCTGGGTTCTCTAGAGAAGCAAAACCAGTAAAGCTTATATAGAGAGAGACAGAAAGAGAAATTTATCTTAGGAAAATGGCTCACACACTTATAGAAGTTGCCAATCCCAAGTTCTTAGATCAAACGTCAAGCTGGAGGCTTTTCCCGACTCATGAAGCTGCAGGGGCTACTGGCAGGCAATACACCAGCTGTTGACTCCAACGAATGAGAATCCAAGATCTCCAGGCTGAATGGTGGACTGTTCGCTCACGAATAGTTGTAGGCAGCACTACAGGATCCCGATCCACAGAAGAGTGTCTCTTTTCCCAGGGTGTCCATAAATGCATTGAAGCAGGCCACACCCCTAGGGAAACTCCCTTTCAATGATGGGCTGCTCAGAAAATATATATCCGATCCCATCATGGGAATAACCCACATCACAACTGCTTAACCACACAGAATTGTGGTCCAGCCAAGTTGACCCACAGCTCCAACTATCACAACCTGCTGAAGTCACTTCCCCCTTAGCTGGGCCCTGCTGAGAAGTGTGCATCTGGGGAGCAGGAGAAAGGGGGGTGGTCATTTGCCTGTCCCTGACTGCCTCAGTTTCTCTGTGTTTTAGAAAGGACTTTGCCAGATACAGACACCAAGCACCTTCTAACACCGAATCCTGGAC